TTCTAATGTTTGTCATAATATTGCTTTGAACTTCATGAATCATTTTCAGTTGACAATAAGTTGTTAAACATCATGTATACGTTTGATGAATATTCTGATATGCATTTAATGTACGCATTCGCAAGATGTCATGCTTTAAAAACAAATATCTCGAAAACTGTTAGGTTTAGACGAAATTCAGATGTCAGTTAGCCCCCGAGATCGTGCGATTTAACACCTCTTGACTATTTTCGTTGGGGAGTTTTTGTTGCCCCGGATAATTCAAGACCTAGAGCGCAATATTCGGACTGAAATTGCGGCCATAGACCCGATTATTCTGGGAAAAGTCATTGAAATTTTGATGTTCGGATGTTGGCCTGTTAACGAAGCCGTGCTGGTCACATGACTGATGTTATTTTTCATACATAAATGGCATAAACCAGCCTTCATTTATCAATAAAAAATTAGATTTCACCTCGTAAAAAGCGTGTTGATTTTTCAAATAGAAAAAAAGTAATAGATGACGCACCCTGTACATTAGCTTCGCAATAAGGTGCGGGAAATAACCACAACCCGCTGGTTGTGAGCTGAAAAGAGAACTAATAGAATGTAGATGCATGTGAAATGTAACACACAACGTTCACAGAATCGTGTACCGGACCGTTATAAGCGGCCAATTTAATATATGTAAAGAAAATTTGATGAATCTTAATAAGCAATTATCCGAATTAAACGCATTTGCATAATTCGGAAAGCCCCCAGATGGAGATGCAGGCTATTATTTCAGTTTTTGAACGATAATTACCTTGATGGTCGCTTATTATAGCTTGAGATGGCCCGGGCTTAATAGTATACTAATCCAGTTTACCTTACTGCTTCACTTTCCACAACAGATCTTTGAAGCACTACAGCTATTATTTAACATTATTATGATGATGCAAGCATTTTTATGTGCGTATAGAGAGAAGTGTCCAAACTCGGACCCTATTTTTTACCCGACTGCCGCAAAAGGAGGGCTATATTTTTCGCGCATGGATATGTATGTAGATAAAAAATTGCACATGCTACAGTCCAAGCTGCTTGATGGACTCTGTTATGAATTGTCTTGATAGTGCGAGTGACACTAAGTAGATGCTTTTTGAAGCGCCGCTTATTTAATGTTTGACAGGTACCATTATCAAACAGACCTTAAAGCAATTCACATACCTCACGGCAAAACAAAGCCATCACGTTTCTAATTACGAGCCAAGCATGCGTTTTTCCATTTTATGCGCGTTACTTACAAACAATGTCTCTGCATTCTGCCTTATATCCTGATATATCTTTTTCGCCACTTGCTAATTAACCGACTCATTAAGAGGCTTATTAAATGTATATGTGCCGTTTCCTGTTTGAGAAGTTACAGTGGTGTAACATAAAAGTATTTTTTACAATACATGTCAATGTTTTCTCTATTTCCTTTAGCAGTCACGAACATAAATTGTATTTATCATCAAGACTAATAATTCCTGTAACAACATAATTATGTATCTATGGCAAAAAGAGAATGGTTACGAGTCGCTGCGCCAACAGTAACTGCAAATTGTTAAAAGTAAATTTAGAATAGTTTTTGAGTGTAAGCTAATATTAATAAACTGACCGCACTATTATGTCACCGGTAGTTGCGCTGCTGCCTAGCAATGAGTAAGCATGGACAGTTCCGTTATTGAGATGCGTTTGTAAATCACTTGGTAATGTAATACCATACACAGTAATTTAATGTAGATTAGCAGAATAAATTTTACTGTGGGACAGTCTCTAACCTTACTTTGAGAACGCCTAATTATTTCATGGTCATGTAATGACACTTGATGACAGCCTACTAATTTCTAACCAGGTTTTCCGCGACGATTGTGTTTATATGGATACGATAGCCCATTTATCATGAAAAATATATAATCTGGCAGCTCTGAGTAGTTTTTTTATAATCAAATAAAGTAAACAAAAAACGAGCCAAGAGAATGACAGCACTCTTACTTCCAAAGGTTCGAGCACAAATGTTTAACCTGTATATAGTGTCACTGGTGGGTAGAATGCGCAACGTTTGAAAACATTGTAAACAACTTAAACAAGGAAGTTTGTTAGAAAAACAAAATATTCATATATCAGATAGTGCTGATACAGACAAGGATGATGTTTCTACCGAACCTATTTCCTCAAAGTTGAGTAGCTTGGAGAATTGTGAAAAGGTACATTTTTTTTACTTGGAGCTCCGTAAAAAGTAGTTAAAACTAAAAATATGTTCTATGTACATTTTTTTGTTAAATAAGATGGGTTGTATACAGAAATTTGTTAGGTAACTTGTTTAATGTTATTATACAAGTAAATACATAGTCATATTATATTATTATTCTGCTGCTTGTAGTGTACTAATATTAGAGTTAAATGCAGTGTATTAAGTTCACTCGTTCGTTAAGAAACAGATTTTTCCCGCTAGTATTAGTTCCCTAATTGCATGTTTGAATAATTAATCAAAAATAAATTATATTTTTTAGTACCTATGTGTTTTAACCTATGGCACTTTTAGTTTCGTTTTGCAAATTAAAATCAATTTTATTGATACTTAATACTTAATTAAAAAAAAAACTTGAATAATTCACAAACGACAAAAACACAGTGTTTAAAACACGTTTTAAACAGTTTATAACAAATTGGTTTAAAATACCTTCATTGTTTTAAACAGTGTTTAATACACGTGTTTTAAACATTTTGATTAAAACATAACAACCTTGCTAGATCATACAGGAGTCTGTGGGATGTAAAGTGGGACTTGATTCTCGGAAAACTGTTCATAAGCAACCCTTTAGATAAAAACAATCACTTGGCATAATTTTGCTTTGCATTAGTTATGTACACTTTGTTTTTGCTGATATTCCATTTGTGTTTCATTTATACCAGAGGGTACTTTTGGTCTCTTCCCCTTTCTGTAAAGAAACATGAAAGCAAAAGACAGCTCAATTCTTGTTGTTGGAACTAGATCCAAAATGGGTACAAACATACAAGGTAAGATAGGAAACCAATCCAAGAACTATTAGCTGTCAGGCTATGTAGGGTTGAAATGCGCTATAGTGAAAGCCAGAAATTGAAATATTTTATAAAAATCAATCATTGAAAAAGGAACAATGCCATACAAAAGAAATTGTTCATATGATTTATATCGAACGATCAATAGGAAAATGAGTTTATAATATTTAATTTGCAGAGTCAAACAGCATCGTTACCAGATGATTCATTGCAACCGACACCACATTTTCCTTTGGTCGAGCTTTCGGCAGTTATTGTGTGAAAGACGATTGAGTCATTTGTCGTTTAAGGCCTGTGTCCCCGCTGATGATGTAACTCGCATGCTTAGGCAATTATTGAGAGTGTGAAGCCACCAAAAAGATGGAATGCTGGTTTATAAATATAAGAGAAAATTATGTTGTGCGTAAAATTTAGCTCCATTTCATACAAAAGTTAAAGTAGAATAGAATAAAGTTTATTTTCCAAAATAAACGATAAAATATGTTAAAATGAATATGAAATCGTACACAGTTCAGAATGGTAAACAAACAGGAAACCCACAGAAGCAAGCTTGTACGTGGGGTTGTACAATTTTTTTTTTATACTCCAACTACCACGAAGGCCTAAGGCCTAAACACCCATTGGGTACCGTGGGGCTATAGGGGGATACAGGGGAAAGGGGGAACGCCGCACGGACTCTGGCGAGGGAACACGTGTGCATGCAACATGCACACATCCTGGCTCCGCCTACGAGATCCGCCGGGTGGTACCTCCACGTTCGACAGTCAGAGACCATCTACCACCTACGGACAATCACAACATCCATAGCCAAGAGAAAAATTTCTCCTGGGACGGGACTCGAACCCGCACAGCGCACGGCGACTGATCAGGAGACCGAAGAGTCTACTACTGCGGCCACCGGTGCTGCCTGAAAAACCTTAATCTGCTATGTATATTATAGATTCGGATGTTGCGTACCTCTTTTTTTTTAATTTAACGTCCATTAGAAAAATAACAGTCACTCAGGTGGATTTTACTATAAAATAGCTCACACACTTAAAAACAATTCGATTAACATCGGTTTACAATATCGGTCATAAAATCGGTAAGGTGAAAATGCACGATAAAATCAAGCACATAAATTCGTTGAAATCGTCCACGGTCGGTTAATGTAAGCATTTTCATAGAAAACAGGCATATTCATCTAATATAATAATAAAAAATAAAATAATGTTATTAAAATTCGGTATCGATGAAAAGAGAGAAAGAGAGACAAAGTAAAAAAAAACAAAGTCAGTGTACAGACATCACAGCAACAGCTTCGATACCTTTATGAGACCTATACAATCATCACAGATAACATACCTTTGTCTAGGAGTATTTGAGATCCATAACTTGAGTGTTTTCTTGAACAGAAATTTTTGACCGATCGTCCTAATAATATATGCTCCGGCAAGGCATTAAACATTTTGGGACATAAGTACATGGACTCCTTAGGCCGACTGTTTTGTAAATGCATCTGAAAGACGTAGTTCACTACGCCATTGTCTATGTACGTAGGGTATAATGAAAATAATGCGCATTTGACAGAGCACCGTACGCAACAATTTTCGGCGTAATTTCAAAATAAAGAGCTTATATTAAACCAATTACAATATTTTTTACGGCAGCTGCTGCAGTCATAAAGATTTTCAGAATTAGGTGCACCTCAAAATGTGTCGTCTTGCATGACGATATAATGGCTTTGGACTCGCTATATCGCCATTGCTATAATTTAGCAGCACGCCTGGTTTATTGACGTGATTATAACCTACAGATATCATGGATCCTTGACAAATTTGAAGCTTAACTACCTTTGGGCAAACTGTCATGCGTCTTCGTTACTAATTAAAATATTAAAAAATAGTTCCAGCATGAGTTTTAAAGATTTTTTTTTATATCGAAACAGCCGCGCAGGAGAAGCCTAAATGCCGGAATACCGCGGCTGGTATGATGATCCCAAAGAAATTTTGTTAATACGATTTTTGAACTGCCTAAGGTTAGTAGAACTGGGAAAAGCTTCCTCTTGTCGATTGTTCCACAATTTAGACACTCTCGGGACAAAGGAGCGGTCGTATCGGCCAGTTCTGGATGTACGAAGTTTGACACGGTTAGGATGGGACGCCGAAGTCAGGCGGGTCTGTCTGGCAGGCACATCGCGCCGCGCATCACGGAAGAGAGCTCTGAGGAGCAAAGCCCGTTGGTGTAACGGTAGTAAAAGAGCTGGATCGCCGACAGCCCGCCGGTGCGAAAGAGTCCCGAGACTATCTGTTAGAGAAGAGTCATCGATCAGTCGGACCGCCCTCCTCTGGACAGCATCGAGCATGGACAATGTAGTCGGGGCGGCAGCACCCCAAATGTGTGAGCAATACTCGAGGCTAGGCCTTATCTGGACCTTGTATAGAGTGAGAAGGTCATGCGGAGAAAAGTACTTCTTAGCCCTAAACAAATAGCCTAGCTTTTTTCCAGAATCTGCAGCTATTGACGAAATGTGTTCGTGCCAGATCAGGTCCTCGGTGATCTGGACTCCAACCAGCCGAAATGAATGGCTCTTTGGTAGAACTCGGCCGTCAATCGAAACTGTATGAGCGCTAGGACGCTTTTTGTTCGTCAAAGTACAGTACTGTGTTTTGGAAGCATTGAACTGTACAAGATTGTTGCGTCCCCAAGCAGTGATAGCCTCCAGGTCTCTTGTCAGAGAAGAAGTCGTCGCTAGTCTTCTTTTTTCCAGCTTGGCGGCGGAGATCGGCCTGTCACTCTGAATTCCTGCATGTAGAGTGCTGTCATCGGCGAACCTGTGGATTGGGTTGATCGTGCAGGAAAGGAGGTCGTTGATATGTAAGAGAAACAATGTCGGAGCCAAGATCGATCCCTGGGGAACACCCGCGTTGACGTTGTGGGATGAAGAGGAGAATCCGTCAAGTACGACGGATGTCTTGCGGCCAGAGATAAAGTCAGCCACACATCTGCAAATCTGTTCTGGGTGGCCATACGATGGAAGTTTGCTTAAGAGGGCAGCGTGCCACAGCTGATCGAACGCTTTCGTGATGTCAAGAGCAACGACATGAGCCTCACCATGAGACTGGATGAGTTTACTCCACAACAGCGTGACGTAAGCTAGGAGGTCCCCTGTGGATCGTTGGTGCCGGAAACCGTACTGCCTGTCGCTAATTAAGCTGTGACGTTCGAGATAGTCCAGAAGCTCGCGATTTATGCACCTCTCCATCACTTTACTTATAACAGAAAGCAGAGCTATAGGCCTGTAGTTGTAAGGGTCGGCCTTTTGCTGAACATGAGCAAATTTCCAGTTTTCTGGGAAGGTGCCGGATTCATAAGATCTCTGGAAGAGACGCGAAAGAACTGGAGCAAGCTCCGCTGCATATCTCTTCAGTACAGTGGCAGGAATCAAGTCCGGACCAGAATCTTTGTTGATGTCGAGCGACAAGAGCACTCGTCTTACGATCTTACGCCTGAATGTTACCTCCCGCATAGTGTGGGGAACCATTTGAATTGACGGCGTTGGTGGGGACGTCCATGGTGGAGTTGGCAGCAAAGATCTTGGCTAGCACTTCCGCCTTGGTCTTTGAGTCGAATACAATAGTTCCATCCTGACACGTAAGTGGTGGAAGGCTACTGTGTGGGAAGTTCTTTACATTCTGCTTGGCCAGCGTCCAGAAAGACCGACTGTCATTGCGCTGCGACATTACCCTGTGCCTAACTTTTATATCGTGCTGGTTTTTGGCATTGCGAACCGCTTCGTTATATTTGTTTCTGGACTCGACGTCGGCTGGTCTGTTCTCTACAGTGGGGTTTTGTAAGTAGGTTCTGTGTGCCTTGATCGTCTGCTGGCGAGCATCTCTCCAAGGAAAGCTACAGAAGAAGTCTCTGAGCCCCTCCCAGTCGGCATGTCCGTAATGTCAAGTTTTGCGGAGTGAACGAGTTTCTGCTGCCACAGCAGCTTCTGACCGAAACCTAACCTCCACAACACCGTGGTCTGAGTTATCCAGGGGGGGACAGGACAGCAGTGCTGTAAGGGACAGGATGCGTGGTCAGAAAGAGATCCAGCAGGCTACTGACGTGTGACGAGACGCGGGGAAAAAAGTAGGGCTCGTCACCAGCTGGGTCAGCCCTTGAGTAAGAGCGAACGCTTCGACTGCACGACCTGCTGCCCAACCAAAGCTCATTATGGGCATTGAAATCACCGAGAAGAACTACCTCTGAAGCGGGGTGATTGATGTTCAGGAAGTCGATCTGGACGGCGAGGTATTCGAGTAGGACATCCCAGTTATGGTTCGAGGGAGAGCGATAAAGGCAGCAAATAAATTTGGGTGAAGTTTTGGAGTTGAGGCGAAGCCACAGAATGTCCTTCCGGTCTGATTCCAAAGACAGATCCCTGGAGCAGGAAAGACTGCTGCGGACAAAAGCCACAACTCCCCCGTTCTTTCTCAGATTGGAGTGCACCTCGTAGTTCAGGAAGTTGAGATGGTTAATCGGTGCAGTCTTGGAGATTTTTGTCTCCGCCAAGAAAAGCACGGCGGGACGATTGGATTGCAAGTAGTGATGAACAGCATCAATGTTGCTGTTAATCCCGCAGATGTTCGAAAAACAAATTTTATCTTCGATGTTTTTCCCTCGAGCCCACCCTCCACCCGGACATTCCGAGAGTGAAGTGGGTTTACGTCCGGACTTCTTAGTGCTCGAGGGATCCATCGTCATTAATTTCTTTGTTTTGGAAGATAACCGACTGCATAGCTTAGGTGTGGAAACATGCGGACATTTATAAAAAGCTAGCGGGTGGTACCGCCTCGGTCGACTGGTCCTTGTCTACCATCTTCTGTTATTAAAGATACAATCCAAGGCGAATGTGGAACTAGCTTTCTGCTCACAATTGGCAATCGTTCAGCTCATGTGCTCTGATTTGCGCTCTTGAGCCTAGGCAATCATAATGCCATACTCTTCTATTCGTCATTGTCTGTTGGTGCGGTGCGTGGGACCTTTGCTCTTGGTTGAAGTCAGTAGGTCTGTTAGGTCTAGTGACCCAGGTACAAGAAAAAAGTGGCGTCAAGAAGGTTGACCCCGCACTTAGAGCGCAAATCTGTCGTCAATTCATAAGGGATTATATTCGGTACAAGTTAGCCCCTTTCAGAAAAACATTCGCTACGAATATGTAATACCAAGGAATAGCCCAACAATGCGATCTAACCCACCACTTGACCGACAGTACCGACCAACCAGCAATGCCTTGGCCATCCACGGCAGGGAGGCGCGCGCTCGTTGAGATGCCCGCCACGCGTACATCGAATATATTATCTACATCTTTATGATTCAACTTTTAAGGAAAAATGTACTGCTAACTATTTGAAGTGTGTATTATTTTGAGCATTTGAAACGTCAAAGAACAAAGTATAAGGTATTTTTTTCGAATTTTTGCTCCTAGCCCCGCCGACACTAGATCGATTTTCAAAAGCTTTTTTCATCTTTAGCACAGTAGGAACTTTGCGTGTAAATTTCATTCAAATCCATGCGGTACTTTCCGGGATATAGGCCGTCCAAAGGTTAGTGGACAAACAGACCGACAGACTGTCAGACCGACGGAAATGAGTGATGTACATGTCGTTATAGTATCCAAAATAATAATACCTCATTTTCGAAATTTTTCACGATTACAATACTTTCCCGCCCAGTGAACGTATTAGCTAAAACGGAGGAGAAAAGAAAAAGAAGTGTCGCGGTGAGAGGGGTGCATTTTCATGGCTAAGTATCGTCGGGTATTCGGAATTTATACAAAGAAAAATAACTTGACGATGTTGGTCGTTGTGGAAAGGTTATATTGTTTGTTGGACACAGGACTTCACAATTCAATTACTTGACTCAGTAGTTTACCGAATCAGGCAACAAAGGGTTGCTGTGCGAGTTTGCTTGGCTATAATGTTGCTTAGGTGGGCGATGTCAAGGTTCCTGGGTCTCATTGCAGATATACCATAGGACGTGATTGTATGCAACACTCTGTTCTGCAGGACCTGCAACCTTTGAAGATGCATTTTGGCAAGTAAATCCCAATCCGCAATAAGTGATTGCTGGTCTGATAGTCATCCTATATAGCAGAATATTATTGATCAGACATAATTGGCCACATAAACAAGGAGGATTACCATAAGTAATATCATAAGAGAATCTATTTTTTTCGAAAAAAAAAAAACTAAAAAACACGTTGCTAAGTAATAAAAAGCATGAATGCTGGTGGCAATCATAATCCGAGTCAAAGACTAGGATTTTTGCATCTGCACGAATGTTTTTTGTTAAAAAAGTATTACTTTGCATTGCTTTTTCGATTTTTTTCACAGTAAAAACACAGATACCCGAATGATATTCGACAAGAGATAAGTAACAGACTATTCTGCATACTTTTCTGGTGTCCTAGGAGACCATGATCATTTGTTATCAAAGGTATTGTAATTTTTGGTGACAACAGCTGTGAAGTTTTGCCATGGGTAAGCTCGAAACAACTGCTGACAGGTGCTGTCATACAATTTTCCCAGCCAGAAACTGTTTGTAATTTAAATTGCAGCGTTTGTGATTGGTAGAAATTAAGACGAGAGAAATAGTTGACATAAAAACCACAGGATAAGTCCCAGATGTCACATTAATTTTGAGGTTCTATGCAGGGTGTGGATTAAGTATGTACCATACATTTAACAGACGACTCTTTGAGTAATTTTGAGACAAAATGTTCATATAAACATATTTCCGCAAATTCTTCGCTCTCATGATACAGGGTATTAAAATTTCAAAAAATGATTTTTCGTAAATAACTCAAGTACCCTCTACCTAATATTGTTGTAATTTGATGGTCGTATTGCTAACATTAAGGAGCTAGTTTAGCCATAACTTGATCAAATTTATCAAATCCAGTGGCGCCTCGAGCGGGATCCAAACGAACATTTATGACAAAAAATGTACGCTACTGAATTTCGTGCAATTTTGATTATGTTCTCTGGATTAAACAAATAGAAAAACAACTTGTTTGACTTTTGAATTTTTTTAGTATCTTGCTAATTTTTATAGTAAAAAAAGTCCACTTAATTGCATATCCCTGAACCACAAAAGGAATTTGGAGAAATTGGAAGCTATTTTTTTTTATTTTTATTACTAATTATATAACAAAAACAAATAAACACATTTTCATCAACATCTAAACTTATGTGTGGTCCAGGGATATATAATTTATGTAGATTTCTTGCTCGATAACTGAGCAAGATACGAAAATAATTAAAAAGACAGAATAGTTGTATTTCTATTTGCTTAATCCAAAGAATAGAATAAGAATTGCACAAAAGTCGCTGGCGAACATTTTTTTGCTACAAATATTCGTTCAGATCCCGCTCGAGATGCCAGTGGATTTAAGCTAAGTCTAATTAGCTCCTTAATCTCACAAATACCACCGCCAAACTACAACAAAATTAGGTAAAGGAAATTTAAAATATTTACGAAAACATTTTTTAATTTTAATACCCTGTATCCTGAGAACGAAGAATTTGCGGACGTATATTTATATGCGTGTTTTGTCTCAAAATTACTCAAAGAATTGTCTGTGAAGTTTATGGTACATAATTAACACCCTGTATAACATAGGGTAAAGTTTCCGAAACGTGATTTCGAATTTGGTTTTCAACTCTTCCTTGTGCTTCTACCACGTCATCTCCTTCTCACGAGTGAGATCAAAAGACTTGGCATATCATAAAAATTTAAAATTCGTACATGCTTGACACTAAAAGTCAAAATCTTACATTTAAAAAGACCAATACTTCAGAGTTAGTGGTTCTATGATTTCCAGTCGGTGTCAATAGACCCAGAAAGCTGCCACCACTGTGCTCAGAACATAACGTGGATCCTAGCTGCCTTCAAAAATCATAAAGCTTCAATGAATGTCAATTATAATCCTATATTTCTACGGTCGATACAAATCCATTAAGTTCGTTAGTTAATTGAAGAATGTTTAAATAGAAATGAGTCGTTTATCTTTGCTGTTTTGGACATTCCGGCACGGGTATCATGTAAAAAACCTATGAGACGTCAAAAAAAGCCTATAAGATGTCAACTTGCAGACTACGCATTATTGGTTGCATACTTTTGTGAGGCTGAGCGATCCAGGTCTGTAGTTTTTATCTCTGAGAAGAAGGTTGGTTGAATAGCAAGATCGCATCTGGATGATTATGTGTATCGGTCTGCATGTATATTAAATCAGTGATATTTGGTGTGTGAGAAAATCATTACTGAATATGCCAAATATGACGGGTTATTTATATGTTGTGCTTTCTGAAGAGAGGTTATGTTCAAAGTTATAAATTACGAAAAACTGAGGAGAATTACGGGAAATCATCACCGCGCCCGCGTTGTGTGTAATTACTGTTAGTATGTATATGGTTTGTAATTCGACAGTGTACAGTGAATATAATTATTTCTTATCTCTCTCATTTTTTAAATTCAGCAAATTTGTATATGTAATTTCCAGAATGGATAAGAAAAAGTGGATGCGCAACTAATTTCTAGCTTTGAATCCCAATTAAGTGTGTTTGCGACAATGTAATTATCATCAACACATACAACCTACAGCTTAGACCTCCAGTAATGCCATCTCAGAAGCAGATTTTACATCACATCAGAGCCAAAGATTGATAACAAGCCTCATGACGTTTAGGCAACAAGTACAACTAAGTGCTAAGTTAACATCTTGTAGAATACCCTACATAATGTCAAAAAACACCAGCATAATGTCAAAAAAAATCGGCATAATGTCACTTTTCAAGATACGTGATACCCGGGCCCGTCACCCAAGATGATTTTCGCGAGGAAAATAATGGTAACGAGTACATCACGTTAATTTTTTATTAAAAACTGAACGAACAGCTCATTTGCTGAGCAGAACGTCCTAATCGTATCAAATATTCTCTTTAAAAAGGTTTACTTACGAATTTGAGTGTTATTGTAAATCTATTAAGGTGACCTTGCCATACACCTTGAAAATAAAAAACACCTAGTTTTGAAAATTCCAGGGACAGTTGTATACTGTAGAACCAAGATCTAAATTCTGGGTTGATCAACTTAATCTTGTATAGACGATACTTCCTTAAATGAACGGCAAAAGTTTTTTTTATCTCGAGGAAATAAATATCTCAATAAGAATCCTTTTTGAATCTTGAAAATGAAGATTTTCTCAACAAAAAAAAGTATTTTAACCAATCACACTATTAATGTCTACCTTAAGCAGCCCAGATCTGGGCTGTTCAGGCTGTTCAAACTGAAGCGTACTTCAAACATGTTCAACAACTGTGCATACTGATGCGCCCAGATCACAAGAGGCACACCAGTCGGAAGGCCGCGACCAGACGGAGGCAATAAGTGATTGTTCGGCGATCATAACTCAGTGCAGGGCGTCTAATATTTCATGGTTTGTCAGCGCATCGGGCCCCCCCGCTGGGAACGTTCTACTTGAGACAACGGGAGCGCAACAATAAACTAGAAGAACCACGAGAAAACAGATGAAGGCAGTCGGGCGTTCCTACCACCCTGAGAGGATTCTGAAGTAGGCTGAGCTTCTGGTACCATATGTACTAACGTATTGTTTTGTGGTTGAGGTGGAGATTTGTATGAGATCTAGTAATTTGACGCATGCAGTTATGTCACAT